TCATAGTATATTCCATACTCATGTGTAAAACTCTTGGCAACCAAGTGTATCTTATAACGTTTCACAAAATCATCAAATCACGTTTTGATCTTGTACACCTATTTATAGCCCTTCAGAGACTTTTCAATAGGGAGATCAACTAAATCCTATATACGAGTGTTCTTAAGAGTTTGTAATTCATCTTGCATAGCTTGTTATCAAAGAGGGTTAGAAGAGGCCTCTTGATGGGATTGAGGCTCATGTAAAGAAGTAATAGCAAAAAACAATGATAATCACAAAGGTAGTTAAGAGGGTTTCTTACCTGAGTAGGATGACTCAAGAGTGGGATAACAAACTCATTTCCAAACTCAACAATATTAGATGTAACATCAACAAGTAATACAAATGATGAAGTGAGGGAAGGCTCAGAATTATCTTAATGCATTACCAGCAAGCAAATCATCTTCTGCAAAACTAATTGGAGCATGTGGTGAGGCATTGTAAAGCTCATTAAATGTACCTGCATCAAAATCACTTAAAAACAACACAATAATAGGATTCGTAAAAAATGGAGGTCGATGAAAGGATGACACTTTGAAGTCTGACAACAATGACAATACATTGTGTTCTCAAAAGATAACATGATGTGAAATTCAAAGTTTTTGTGACACAGGATCCCAACAATAATATCCTTTTTGTGTAATCTTATAACCTAAAAAACAACATAATCTAACTTTAGGCTCTAACTTGTTATATTCATGAGGTGAAGGAAGAACAAAACATGCACAACCAAAAACCTTAATAAGATCATAGGCAAGAAGAATACTATGCAAATGATTGTATAAAGATTAGTTATTGAGGACTAATGATGGAATGCAACTAATGAGATAAAATGTTATAAAAGCAGTTTCATCCCAAAATCGCTTTGGGCAATAAGATAAAATGAAGGAGAAACAAAAAAGGAGAAATATTTGAAGAAGAGTTTATTGCTTTTTTGTCTTCATATATATATATATATATCTATACAACAGAATATTCTTAGACATAAAACCAATTAATTAAATTATATATAATTAATTACAATGTGAATATAATAATCTAAAATAAATACTGATATTCCAACATTTTTTTTTTGGCCATCGGGAGAAAAGAAGTTGAAGGTTGTTTGGGTAGGGCAAGGCACCGAAGAAGAAAGCTGAAAGAAGAAATTGGTGGAGACAAAAGAGAGGAGCATGTTCGATTTTGGTACTTCTTTTCGCACATCAAAACATCTAGCAATAAAATGAAACAATTTGAAGAGTGAGTATCTCATCTTTATGGTGGAGTCCCACATTTGAGTCTTTGATTGCCACTTTATGGTGTTAAAGATGGATTGAGAAGAATGTGAGGGAAAGAGAGAGAAACGGGGAAACGAAAAAGGAGGAAGAAAATAAAGAACCGACTTAGTAGTTCCCAATTTAGATGTCAAATTTTCAGTGACTACCGGTAGCATAACGTGAATGGTGTTAGAGCACGTGACGAAGGACGACTGCCTTAGCATTCCGCTCCTTTCTGGCAGATTTGGAACGTTTTTCCCCCCACGAAATCAAAAAAGGAAAAGACTAGTTGACTAGTTGACTAGTTGACTTCGTCTCATGGTCGGTTAAGAAATGAGAACTTTGAATTTTCAGTCAACAAAAATGTCCATTAATGACTATAATTTTTCTACACACTTTTTTTTTTTGAACAACCTAAATTTTTAAGAAAATATTACAATTGTCTTCACATAGACTTGAATCTTGATGTAGATTAAAATATTTACTACACATTACACGCTCAACTGGAGCTGCTAGTCATATAAGTTTTATACATAATTTTCATATAAAATTTTAATTGTTTATTTTTAAAATAAATATTTAAGATTTATTTATCTATTCATCATTATTTACATAAAAATTATAATAAAATTTAATTATTAATAATAAAAAGTATATTGTTATTATTTTTTGTAAAATTTGTGTATAAAGAATACCTTCTTTAATAATAATATCAAATTTCATGATATAATATATAGTTGTGTAGTTGTTCTAATTTAGACTTGACAGATTATAAATGCATTCAATGTAAAATCACCAAAACTGCTCACCTAAACAAACCACCAATGCAATTTGTTTACGATTAAATAATTTTCTTAAAAAAATTTAAAATTGGGGCAAAACCACTTGGACTTTAAAGCGTAAAATTGTTAGCCCATTAGTTGGGCTCTAAAATACACTTTATTAGGCATTTTTGACGCATTTTAATTAACATAATTTTTAATTTAGAAGAGAAGAATAATTGATTGTTTTTTTTATTAATACTACATATTTATAATATAATTATATGTGAAAATTATAAATA